AAAATACATGTATTAAAATTCATTCATATAAAAGTTCAGCCTTTCTACTGGTAGTTTTGAAGGTATTTCCACAGACCTGCTCTCATCCTGCAGTTCATATTTGTGCGGCAAACTAAAGACAAAGCTCCTGATGTGACTTGATGATGTGTCCAGAACCAGGGCTGAAATTTGTGCTGACAAACAGCAAAGCAATAGTTAAAGGGTTGTGATGCTCATGCTGCACTTTTAATTGTGAATTGTGTAGACTTTCCTCTTATTTAACCAAAACCATTCCTGGCTTTGAGAACCAAAAGGAGCATTAAGAAAACAATGTCTTTAAATTTTATTTTCTAACCATTGTATGATTTTTCTGCAACTGAAATAATGATTTCTAGACTTTAGAGAGCATCTTTTTAAAACATTTTCAAAAGCACAATAACAAATATAGCTCTTATGACTTGTATGTCTCCTGCACTTAAAAAAACCACAAAAATCTCCCCTTCCCCTTGACACTGTACTGGGCAAAACATTTGTAAATTTTAGGGCACAACAGAAAAAACCCTCAAACTTCTCATAATCCCTTGGAATAAGACATATCAGCAAGGTTATTAAAATTAACTGAAAACCAGTATTACAACTCTGTACGACTACTGAGCAAAGACACAGTTGAAAACATCAAGACCTACAGTGCTGAGAGGTTTTTTCCCCTCTTCTTTGTGCTCTAGTATGGTGGAATCCATTACTTTTGAGATACAGAAGTATAGGAAGTTAAGATCAAACAAAAAATTTATCAAATGAAAAACTGTCTGAATCTCATTATCACTTAATAATGGTGCAAAAATTCATGTCATCCGTGCAAATTAAGGAAAAAAATATGGAAAATATTACTGGGATGGATTAAATGAGTTTTTTTAATCAGGCTACACAAAGTATAAGAAACTGGATAATTACCTAAAAACGACAGCAGAAATTATATAACTTCATAGCCTATTCATTATCAGGCTAGCACAAACAAGCACAAGGACCAGGAAAGTGACAGCAGGGAAAAGTTTATTAAACCAAGAATCAGATGTTCATTTCTAGAAGAAGCACACAAACACTTCTGCTGCTACCACACTTGCACTCAGTTGTTCTAAGGGGGAAGAGGACAGCTCAGAACTGTTCCCAGATGCAGTTTCTGAGAGATCACTCCCTACTTTTCCTCAAAACCTCCTTCTGCTCCACTGTGGCATGAGTATTTTATGCCAAAGTAAAACATAAATGCCATTATACAGCCAGTTGCATGTAACTGTTATGTGTTGCTAACCACAACACATGTAGCTGTCTGCTTGTCCTATTCCTTGTTTGGTTAAAATTCCTGAAGATGTTCCAGAAAAAGTGAACATACAACAAGGAACATAATAGCCCTTAGTACATTTTCTGAAGTTTGTTTGCAAAGACTGGAAGCATGTACTTCCATAAATTCAGTACAGATAAAAAGTTTACAAAGAACCATTTAACTGCTTAAAAATGTAAGTCCAGGTTGTTAGACAATCTTAAAAGCTGTAGACTAATCTTAACGGCTTGATCAATCATTTCAACTTTAACACATACAAATTGAAGTTACAGATATCTTTACCATTTGGTTAATTTGCTTAAGATATTTTAAGTCTTTTGCCAAAATTGTCCTAAGTCAGTTCATACCAGCAAAGATGGCAAATAACTTCACCATCAACTGATACTGAGACATAATAGCTTAAAATAATGACTGTGAAACATAGGGAGTTAATAATTTAGAAGAGTATTCAGTTATTTAAATATTATGTAATTTATACCTGAAATACCCTAAATTCAAGAGAACAAAGAAAAACAACCTGGACTACTTACGCTGAAAACAATCAGCCAAAACCTTTTCTAAAGTAGGCAAGTCAAATTTACATCCAGAAAACCACAGTTATCAGAAAGGAATGACAAATCAGTCCGATGTTTTCCTTAGTTGTATCAAAAATAGTGTTGTTTTTTTTTTTAATTAAAGAAGAAAATAAAACAGCATTAAAAAAATACAACTGTGGTATAAGTTTGCCATACACTAGCTTTGCCATTCAAATCCGACCAGAAATCAATATACAAACAATCTGGCTTGGGAAAACAATATTTGGCAAAAAATACTAGTTTGGAGCTAGCAAAGCAAAATTTTATTATTGGTATCACAAAGAGCATTACTGAGACTTAAAATATCTTGCCTGCATAATCAAAAATGCCTCACAACAGGAGGCTATTAAGAATTAAATTGGGATACTTTGGCCTAAAAATTTTGATTTGCAGACATTTCTTTCTTTTGAATCTTTTGCCCTAATAAAGACCTCTTTAACAACTTTCTTCTAAATAAAATCTAATATCTACCAATTTCCTCTACCTGATATTGTATTTTCTTCTTGTCATCTGTCATACTCTACAGTATGAAAATACAACAGTAACAAACACCAGATAGACACTTAAACCTACTTACATTGCACTCATTGACAGGATTCAATCAAAAAGACCACAAATATTTTGAGTTGGAAGGGACTCAAAGAGATCACTGAATGCAATTACCTGCTCCTTGCAGGACTTCCTAAACTCTGATTAAAAATAAAAGCATTCCTAATAGCCAGTATAAGTAAGGGCAATAGCAAGAACAATTATCTCTGCATGAATCCAAAAAACAATCCAGATACAAAAGCTTTACCTTACACAACATAGCTTTTACAAGAAAGAACTAGACGTAAATTATCTCCACCACTTTGATGGCTGAAATGGAGATCAAATTCTGAAAAATATTTTAAAAGCTGCTCATGGGATAGACTTAAAATATCAACAACCTTAGTAATAAACTGACTGTTTCTCGTGGGACAGACTTTAAATACCAGCAACCTTGGAAACAAGCAAACTTCATATATAACCTAGAAAACCTGTTTGGCTGAGTGCAAATATTTACTTTTCAAAACCTAATTGCTAAGATAGGCTCCCCAGACATCTGTTTCAACATATATCAATCATCAGTAATTTCAGAACACAAATAACCCCAAACCTTTTCTGACTACTACATTGGTTGAAGAAAAGTAGGCTTTTACTGAGTAGTGTCTTCCTTTCTACTTAATATTTTCAAAATTGAGACAGCAAGTATTTAATGAACAAAACTAAATTTTAAACTGCTCACAAATTACACATGTGCCATTTTGACAGGTATTAAATTACATGAAAACAATGTTTCACCATTGCATACTCCCTTTTACTGCAATACATTAGCATTTTGCAGCCAGAGAAGAGAGTGTTGCTACACAATATGGTGTTAGGAGACACCCAAGTACCTAATTAGGAGACTTGATAAATACACAATGTAAAATTACAGAAAGAATATTCTAAAACCTTCAAACATGATTTCTCCCTTGCACGCATACCAGAAATTCTGGGCTTCAATCTACAAATGAATTTACTATCACAAACAAAATAGTTATAGTTCCTCATATTCATGCTTTCAATTAGGTACAAATCATAATTTTCCTTTGGAAGTGTTTGCAGAGGGGAAAAAAGAAAAAGGTGGCTAGCACTGTAAATTACAACACTGAATAGCAAATAATTACAGCAGACATTTGGAAAACCACCAATGTTTAAGAGTTTTTCAGTTGTTGGCTAAACAACTGCAAGTATCTTTGCCAAAACCAGAATAAAACGTCTAATCAGAAGTGACTCTTGCATAGAGAAAATAACTTATTCACTAATCTATTTTAAAAAGAAAGTTTAACCAATTATAGAAAACACTGTGACTGCATCGATTCAGTTGCACAACTCAATTTTCAATTCCAATCTCATTCAGAGCTTACAAGCTCAATCCCATGCTTTAGCAAGTAGAAAACCTCTTCTTCCTCCAATGGTTTGCCAAAACTGAGTTCTAGAAATTAAAGTGCGTATTAGGCAAGAAATTCTGTGCCATTCAACTACATATATTTTTAACATTTTTCCGAGGGAAATGCATGGGTTACAAGGTCATTAGTCAACAATTGAGACATGTCCAACTATATTTAAACATTAAGAGATTCAATTCTATCTTTAAAATAATTTTTGCATTTTGTTAAATGCTATCTCCTCCCGTGAAAAACTCACCATGAGTGAGTCACTGAGAACAGCATAAACATTCAGAAAAGTTCAATTATAAGTGGCTTAAGAGGAAATGTCATGGAAATACAGTAAAAGTATAATTGTATGGGAAAAAAGTGACAATCACCTAACTATGTAGACACAGGTGAGATTTACATACACACACATGCACACATATATATATATATATATATAAAAAACACAATAGCTGCTCCAATGGCCTTGGAGTAAAGAATGTTTTAGGAACATTCTCTGAGGGAAAATTACTAGTCTGTCAGCAAAGCAGAAACTATGTCAGAGAATTTATATAAATGTACAAAATTCAAGTGAATGTGTGAGAAAAAAAGAACCCTTCAAATATGACTGCTTAAGGATGTATAAAAGATATTCAAGGTAAAATAGGTAATCCTATTACAGCTAAGGTTAAATGACAGTTATATGAGACATCATCCTAATAAAATTGCAATATATAGAGAAATATAAGTCATCTTAAAAAATATGAGTACCTAGAATTTGAATACATGTTTTGGATATACATTAAAAGGTAATTTGAACTCAAGATCTTTCCAGAAGTTATAAAAGCGGCAGATGCTCTAAATCTTCAAAACAGAAATCAACAGTTTTCTGAGATCCAGTTCGGTGCATGCACATTAAAACCCCGGTCCCAAAGCTAAAGAAAATTTCTTTATAGCATGTACATATAGGCAGCGTTATGCTATTTCAATAGAGCACAAAGGTACCACTAAAAGCAAAGGATTTTGCTTCAATTTATAATTTATCCCACAAAATGTTAAATTCTTGTGCCAAAAAACATTCAAGTTAATTTATCATCAAATGCATGGTAAAACTGTTTTTCCACTTGAAGCAAAATGAAACAAACACCAAACAACATAATTTCCACTAACCTTCAGGATCAAGGAGTTTCTCTATTCCCAGGTGCTGCCTGGCTATGGAGAATGCATGGTCTAATCGTTGTGCAGGTGACTGCTGAGAAGCAACAGCATTCCAATCAAACAGGTCTGGTCTAAAGCAAAAGTAAAAGGAAGAATAAGTTTCTTATTTTTCAGTCTTACATTTACTGACGTTTTTCTAAAGCTAAGCATCAGCATCCACTTTTTCATTCTCATAATGAAAGATTGTGTTAATTGGCCCTGGGACTAATAAAGCTCAGTTTCGAATGGGTTTGCATTCTGTTCTCATCCATGTCCACCACAATCACATTGTCCATGATTGGTTCTTTCATTCCAGTCCCAAATTGTGCTTGGGTGGGAAAGATCAGGTGCAGTGGCCATGCAATTGGGACTGGTATGTGGCAGGACAAGCAGGACAGAACTGCTGAGGCCACCTGGGGGCCTTCCTCCTCTCCCCAGGTACCAGTCTTTCACTTCCATTAGTATTTCTAAGAGTGCAATTGCTTCTGAGATTACCAGCTCACTGCTACAACAGACTAAATCAGTCAACAGGTTAAAAAATCCATAGTCATAGAAACATTTGGGTTGGGAAACACCTCTAAGAACATAGAGTGAAACTCTCACCCGTACACTGCCAAGTCACAATTTATATGCTCTTACAGGAAAAGACAGAATGACCAAAACTGAATTATAGCTCAGATGCAGTCTGGGACCTTGTATTAGCAGCTGCACTATTTGCAATATAAATAATGTTAGTACAGCACAATCTTTGGCTTTTCATCTAAGAGTTATCCATTAGGAAATCAGAATTTGTTATCAGACACTCTGGAGAAATAAAGTTTAATCAAATACCCTGTGATTACTCTGCATGTAATATGAAGAAAAACAACCATGCTATTTGTGACTTCAATACAGTGTTCTAAATCAGGGGACATTTAAATGTATCATTTCAACTACTGATAAATCAAGCACACTATTTACACCATTTAAATTTTGCAATTAATGACAGATTTACTCACATTTTTATTAATTTTAGTAGTTAATTTAAAATAGTATCCTGAGTTATAATAAATGGAAAAATGTTTACTACATCATATCGTAATAATGTCAATATAGTAAAGAAAAATACTCCTTTTACCTAGTAGTTATTCTTTAGTTATATACCTCTGCTGTCTAATTTTTTTCTGAGGGGACTGATTTTCATAGTAACAAATAAGTTATTCCAAGTTATTTTGCTCCTCTCTGCATAGATGCTCAAATATTACAGTTTTCTACCTCCCACATGCAGAATAACTCCAAAATACTAATAAATTTTAATTTAATATTAAATCTGGCTGGGGACAGGGTGGAGAAGGGAGGGGAAAATTAGGCAGTAATCTCTGGGTTTACCCATGGACGGATGAAGTCTGTGATCCTACAGACTGGTTTGTGTACCAAAACACAGGAATGCAAAACATACACCATGTGTACATAACTAGTAAAAAATACTTTTGGCCATTTTCCTTTAGCTGGGAATGGAGTTACCATTGTTCATAGTAGACTACACAATGCTATGGTTCCAATTTACAGATAAAGAGTGTTTAGAGCAAACCAGCTATTACTGAAATGTGATCATGCAAAATCAAGACCTTCTATTTTTCCCTTTGCTCTACCTTCCCAAAACCAGTGGGGGACAGATGGGCAAGAAATGTGGGACAGGTGACTCAAACCAGTAAAAAGGATATCCCACACCACATAACTTGCTCAGCCATAAATAGCTGGGTAAAAGAAGGGAATGAGGTTGGGGAGTGTTTGTCTGGGAAGGTATCTCCTGCTTGAAGAGTGGCTTTTGCATCACTTGTTTTTCTATTCTTCTTAACTCCGTGTATTAAAAGAGTCTCTACTTTGACTCAAGAGTTTTTTAGCTTCCATTTTTCCTATTCCCTTCCCTGTCCTGGTGCAACAGGGGGTGAAGCAAGCAAATAGCTGTTGGGTGCTCAGCTGCTGGCTGGGGTCAAGCCACCACACCCCTGCACCTTATTCTGCAAGCACACATATTACTCAAATCCCTATTCCAAATTTAACACTAGGCATAGGATGCAGAAGCTCATACAGCAAATTTAGCTAAGAGAACACTGCAGTAACTACAAAGTTGTCTGTTTTGACTGTCTTGAAAAGCTTGGCAAGAATGTGTCACACATATACTACACAGACTCGAGTATAAAAAGAATATTTGGTAAGAAAACTTTTTAGGACAAGGAGAGGAAAGAAATGTATCCAAGAGACTACCTTCCCCTCAAATTTTTCTTTTTTCCTTTTTATTTTTCTCTTTTAATTTGGCTAAAAGTTCTAAGCACACCTGCAATGCTGAGAGTAGTACATTATGTTCACATAATCATTTTTTGTTTGGTAATACAATATTCTATATATGGGAACATACTTTTAATCAGTTAGGACTCCTCTGGGCAAGAACATGAATATTTACAATTACTCCTTGAGGAATGTCACAATATTGTCTTATCCCTCCTGAGAAAACCTCTGTCATCATTAATAATATCTCAGATAGTCAATTTCATCCAACTTTTCAGTTGTATAATCCAGGAGGGTATTTTCAAGTTAACCTACCAAGACAGTCTAAAATAATTATCATGACTTCATCTCTAGAGGTAGGACTCTCAATATAAGACAGAAAGAATTTTTGTTCATTTGTTTTTGTGGGGTTTTTTTTGTTTTTTTTTTAATTTTATTTTAAAAACCAAACACTCCAGCACTCATAAGAGTTTGAAACATCAAATCTTAACACCTGGGTTGAATTTACATGCTGTCTGCGTAGAGAACATTCAGCATCTCTCTCCACTCATTACATATGGCAAAAATTTGAACCCTCAGAGACATAGCTAGAAAGGAATTTGCGTGATCTAGTATGTTACTGTCAGATTTCTTATCCATTTTCTTAGTATTGTACATAAAGCAGACAGCACAGATTCCAAAACAATTTACAAGTATATGACCACCTATTGCAACTCAGTTCTGATAAGCACCAATTTAATTAAAATAAAAATAAATTCAAAAAGCTCCAACAGCAATTCAACTTTCCAGATTTTGACTTTGTTGAAAGATTATGTTGCTATACACATTTCAGTAGCTCTATCACTAGAATAACAGCGTCATAACGTCAGCTTGAAGCAGCAGCTTCTCAGTGCTATGTGTCAGGATGTTTCATTGGGTGTATTTATGTGGATATACTGCCATGTGTGATTGTGGGAAATAATATAGCCTAGAAGATTAATAATTGTGGTAAGTGGAAAACAGCTTTTGAAAATCCCTGAAACAACACTACAAGTGATTTTCAAATTACAACTGTTTTTAGCTGTCTAAGGAGTTTTAAATACAGGAGTGAGAAGGTATGAAATAGTAAAGGAAAGATTTGAAATGGAATACTGATTCTCTGCCTTCATTTGTCCTCTCCATATTGTTCAAATAATACCAAGGGAGATGGAATTTATTCTCATATCTGCAGCTTGGGTCTTGCCTGAAAGGGAGGAAACCCATGGAAAAAAAACTAGCATCTCTCACTTTTCTTCCTGAACAATACAACACATTGTCAAAGAAGTTAGAATTAAGTAGAACATGCTGAAATTTATCTAGCCATTCACAGCTCAAACAGCACTGGTCTTAGATTAGTTTATGACACAACCATGGAGAGCCAAAACTGAAAAGATTGAAGGCTTCAAGGGAGAAGTTGACATTGTAAAAATCAAACTTTCTATTGAACATACGGTAATTTTTTTACCAGCAGTTCTTTTCTATCACTAGCAGAAATACAAACAATAAAAAAAAAAAGGGAAAACAAACATGAAATTTTCGAAAACATATTTCCAAGAAAAGTAAAGTAAAAAATGAGGCTCCTTTTATCCCTTCTGACCCTCAGTTACATAACTTACAACAGTACTAGTTCAGCCAGAGTGAGAAAATTTATACTATGTATAGTATACTATATACTATGGACAAACAAATCCCCATGCAGAGATTAAAGTCATGGATAAGACAAGCCATAGTTTGTGATTATTGTAGACAGAAAATAGTCATAGTTAGACCATGAAATTTATCATCTCCCTTTCAATAGAAAAGCTATGTGTTTGTTATTTTACCTGTTTCTACAAAAATATTTTATATGTGTTTTCAGAACTCTCAAAATTGAAAAACATCAGGAAAGAGCAACTGATACATAACCTAGTGATTTGCTAAAAAATTATTCTTTTCATACCTCTTCATCCCATTGTTTTCGCTTTTACTTTTCCTGTAAACTACTGAAGAAATTTTTTTTTTTTTTTTTCTTCTGTCCAGGACCTCTTTCTGATGTCATTTTCTTTCCCTTCTCACTCTAGCACCCTGAAGCAGAAACAGCTGCAATGAAGTGCTCATTTGTAAGGCAGTCACCTGGCCTAAGTTCAAGCATTTTAAAGAAGCAAGAAGGAAGATAATGAATGCCACCTGTTCCCACTTCAAAATCCTGATTACTGGAGCAGCGGAGAAAAGAAAAAGAGCCCCAACAAATTTGGAAAGAGGTAAATATCTCTGATATCCACCTGGAGGAAAAAGATTTAAAGAAGTAAATGGGGAAAAGTCTTTGTGATCTGGACCCTTAAGAAGGGGGGAGTTTGTAGAAGGACTGACCTCTCTTCATCAGCAAAATATTTTCATTTCTGTATATTCCTAGGGTGATGATGCCACTCCACAGCTGTTGCCTTGTTTTTTTCAGTTCAGTTCAGAACATACCATTCAAGAAATCATCTGCCAAGCTTATATCCTGAAAATTCACCCTCTGGGCTCACTAATGTCCCCCTGGAGATTTGCCAGGTGACCTGTGTTCCACCGCTTCTTCCACTCAGTATTGAAAGCAATTGCTAAAGAGCCTAAATGTCCATGGAGACATGGTGATTACAGAGATGGAAAAATATACCTCAAGTAACCCCTAAATAAAATGACAGAGAAAGAGCATTAGAAAAATTGGATCTAATCACAATAGCAAGCTGAAAGCTAGGGATTGGTGGGATAGAAGACTATGAGAAATAAAGCTTCCCACTGCTTTCCCAGCATACTATGTGGTCAGTGCTTCATGAAAGTCTCTTACTTTATCTCAATCCATGTAAGGATGTATTTAAAAAATTCATCCAGATGCAAATTTCACATTATTGTTTGAACCTCTTTAAAAAAAACCAAAACAACCACAAACCAAAACAGAAAGCCACCTGTTCATCACTGCAAACGTTATAAAACAGGAATAAAAATATCACCATCCATAAAGTAAAGGAATTGGTTTGAAAAATAAATAGATTTTACGCCACAACAAAATCTACCCTCATTTTAAGAGTCCAAATATTATGAAAAAACCTTTGGGTAGCATCACTATTTCAGTGTTGGAGAGATTTTTGGTGTTTGGGGTTTTCTGTTGGGTTTTGGACGTTCTTTTGTATGTTCTTGGTTTGGTTTTTGTAGAAGTCTAGGAATAGAGCTAAAACTAAGGAAAAGTGCACATACCAGGTACCAGGTCCACTGCATGAATTAAATATCCTACCTGATTTTCAAACTATAGCTATCCTTCCTTGTGACTAAATCTGCTTCCATTCCTGCCAATGCAGAGGAATAAAGTCAGAGGATGAAAATGAAGAAAAAAGAAGAGAGCATCTGGACAAAACTTTCTGGAGGAAATAGACAAGAAAGAAGCAGAACAGGAGAACTGGACAAATAGGGAATTCTGACAAAAAAATGTAGAAACTTGAAAAATTGAACAGGGAAAACAGAGGATCTAAATTCAGAGGTGTTTGTCATCAGAGTGTTCATCATTCTATGCAAGTAAATCACAAACTATTTATAAAGCATTGGATATGTGAGACACCAGGTTTCTCTGAGAATTCATGTAAATCACTCTTGGACACCTTTTCTTCAGTGTATATTAAAACTGTCTTCTTTAGGCACTAAATCTAAGACACTCTGACACCCAAGTCTCTAATGTACCTGCATCTTAGAGTGATTGAATTAGGCTCCATAGAGAGGGTTTTTTATTATTATAGGACACAGTTAGGAGCTCCTGAGCATGGAATGTCCTAGTGTCCCTATTTAACTGATTCCATCTGGAATCTTGAAGGACAATTCAGTGTTCCCACACACTAAACAAGAAATGCAAAGTCAACAAAAATCAAACATCATTGGTTCATCTTAAAAATTACTGCATCAGGGCTTTGGAGGAAAGGAGGAAATGAAAATCTTGCAGAGAACTTAGTGATTTAAGTCCAGAAGATGACTGGTGTGTCTTGGACACTTGCCTCCAGGAATCTGACTGAACACTCGCCATTTCCCAGATATGTGCAGTAACTACTGGGCAAGAGACAAGACTTCTATGGAGTAATTCTTCACTTCTATTGAAAATAGGCTCACTGTGCAGAAAGCTATGCAAGATTTATGGCAGCAGACAGAAGAAGAGTAAAAGCAGGCTTGAGTTTTGCAGCCCTGAATTACAAAACCTGAATAAAGTGCATAAATTCCAGTAAGCAGGAAATGAATGTTCATCTGGTGAACTTTGCTCTAAACTGAACACAGCAGTGCATAAAATCTGACATAGGACACAGAAATTTGTCTAGACAATCCCAGTCTGGTTTACTGGCAACAGCACTCCCCAGCCAGGGACTGATCCTGAATAAATTCCTCTGTTCAGACTTCTGAATAAATTCCTCCAGAGAAGGACAAAAAGGAATTTCTGATTACTGATTTCAGACACCAGATATTACATGGTCCTGCAGAGCATGTAATCTGAATATCTGAGTATCAGATACCCTAATCAGGGAACAGACAGTCTGCTATTGTTTCTAGGTGGAAAGACATTGTGGAAAGATGACTGGGGGTAAAATCAGAGCCAATGGAGAAGTTATATTCACATCCCAAGAGAGGTTACGATGGTATGGTAATTTTAGGGAAAAATACAGTTGTGGCTCCCTGGATGGAATGAAGTTGGTGTGTTTGAAACCTGTTCTGGGGTGATTCCCCACACAGTGGGATTGTTTGTCAGTGTTTCCCATTGTCTTGAGATTTCAGAGCCCTCCTCACCATCTTGCCTTTATTCCCAGCTGCCACAAGGAGCAGCATGTGGAAACAGGCAGCATCTTTGTCTGGGGAAGCCACATGTACATGACCTGCAGGGAATGTCTGTCATCTTCTTGTCCCATCTGCCACAGGGAACTAAGTCAAGGGGGCGACCATCTTTTTGTGAGAAAAACACCCTCTCTTCCTGTATACCTGTTTTTAGTCATTATTGCTGTTGCTGTGCATTTCTTATTCCACTGCTGTTTGCTTTCAATAAATTGTGATCCCAATCCAAAGTTTGCTTTTGTTCCTCCCTTGGCAGAGGGGGCAGAGGGGGCAGAGGGAAGGGAGTGGCTTATTTGGAGTTTAATTTCTGGATGGTGTTTAAAACACTGCACAGTTAAAAAGTTCAACTCCCTAACAACTTTAGCAGTCAGTGGCCTTGCAGGACAGTCCCCTCTAAGAGACAAGTATATACTTAAGGCATCAGTAGTAGGAGAAAGAGGTTGGGAGGATTATCACATTGGGAAAAGCAATCCTGCTTTAGAAGCAACAGTGGCAAGAACTGGGTTTTTTAGATATATTGACTTGCACATCTTCCTTAAGCCATGTACACAGAACCCCCAGAGAACTCTGAATTTTATACAGCATAGACTAGAAGAAGGCAACTTCTGAGAGAGGCTAAAAACTCAAATCAGCTGGTGGAATAACATGAAAGGTTTTGAAAACAAAGGCCAACTTCTCCAGCTGTGTCCTTGTGAGGCAAAACCATACTTTCAATTCAACAGTTGAAAGAGGCTTTCAACAAACACGACATTTTCCCCATCTAAGTACCCACAGGAAAATCTCCTTCTCCCTCTGGGAGAACTTCAAAGGCTTAGTTTTGGATCTACTCCTTGCTCTTCTCAAAAGTTTACAAGCCTGTACTCCTTGAGACTATCTTGTTGGTATACAGACTAAAATTCCAGAAAAGGATCTGAGCTGTTAATGTTTGGTTGTGCTGTGAAAAGCTCTCCCTCCATGAGAGGATTTAGTAGGACACAAAACGCAGCACCCAGGTGAAAGCAAAGAGTCAGTCATTTAAAAGCATGCTGAAACACCCACAGAGGAAGCAGCTAAACCCCACACACACCAGACAGACTGTCCTCAAGCCCTGTACAGCCATCTGTCACAGTGAAAAGCTGCTTTTCCCACCTGTGGCTGTGGAGGAGAGCGTTGAAAGCCAATCCATCAGACCAGCTCGTGGTGAAATTGGTAACGTTGACCTGCGGGTACTTGCGAGTCGATTGACGGACCCAGCTCAGCAGAATCATCTCACTGTTCGTCTGCTGCAGCCCAGCCATGATGTTTTTCATTACATCTTTGACCTGCAATAAAAGACAGAATTTGATAAATGATTGAACTTATTACAAGCTGACTCCTTCTTTTCCTGAAATGAAAAAACCTTCAGATAAATAAGTTTCAACCCTAAAGAAAAACTGCTAAGTAATTAAAGAACATACTTGTTTTCTCAACATAATGGCAGCAATCAATTCCGAATGCTTAAAGACAACAGCTACTGACATGCATGAATTTATTCATCCCTGTGCCACAGGTGAAGCAGGGACAGAGAAAGCACATTTGTTAGCATCACTTGTGGTAACAGAGTTCTTTCAAACTAAGTATTTCGCCTTGTGGTTTTCTTTGATCTGGAAATAAACCCTTAGTTAATTTGATACATTACAGCAAAACTTGATAAAATGATTAATAGCATAAACTGTGCATCATGTTTTTGACTTACAGGTGCAAAATACATTTGCATACATGCACTTGGATGAAAAGTCAATTTCATTGCATGAAAAAAGTGTATTGCATATATTTCAATTTTATTATTTTAATGAAGCTAATATTCCTTTTTCACTAGAGAGAGTTTACCAATCTAAAGTTATTATTTTACAAAAAGCCTAAAGGCTTTTATAAATATTATCCTGGAGTTTGATATCATGCAGTAGATTTTTTATTTCCTATCAATTTCTCTACTAGTAAAAGAGAACATAAAACTTCTATTAAGAATTATTTTCCTGTAAAGTAGCACCTTTTAAATAATTTCTTTCCCCATATATCTTATAGAATAGCAGCTCTTTTAAATTATTCCCTAAGATATAATTTAACTATAAAGTTGCTTATTGCTGCTTATTCACTTAGGGAATATTGCATTTCATTATCATTTTCCCCTTGAATTGCTCTACTGCCAGTATCAGTCAGTCAAAGAACAACATTCATGGCAGAATCTGCTTTATCATAAAGTATGGACCACTTTGAAACTGTAAAAATTGTAAGATAATATGCAGAAGATGTAATCTGAAAGAACAGTCAACAAAAACAATGACAATTCATTACCATGACATTGTAGAAAAAAAACCACAGATAACCTTTTATTGCTGAGTACAGTAAATTGCTCACTAGTTTCACAGTAATTAATTCAATCATTTTATTTTGTGAAGATATGAATTACTGAAATAACACTTTGGGTTTGCATCTCAGATGCATATTGACCAAAGATTATCAGTGCCCTTAACTTTCCTTTTGAGCCTTAGGTGTAACATTATATGTTATTAATTTCTAAAATGGAAGGAGAAATTTATCCTCTAAATTTCATGGGACATGTTCCTGACTTCGGTCTTCGATTTTAATTTGCACCAATGAAAATTAATAAAAATTCAGGCAGATAAAAATAGTTTTTATTTTTGTCTCTATTTTTTACATTAGAAAACAGAAAATGAAGTGTAAGAAAATTAGGAAATATACTCTTTATTTTTGCTTCATATGTCTGAATGGGTGTTTTGCATTTCTTGACATTTTTAACGTCTTTCCTTTTGAGAGATGCCAAAGCTGATTTACATAATGTAGCAGGAAGCTAAGATTGGGCCTCCGTATTCCCAGGCACCTTCACTACTATAAAAATACAGAATCTTGTTTTTTTCAATAATCTGGATGCTGAAAAAGAAGAAAACTTTTGCAATTAGCATCTGTTGCACCAAACATGCAATAAGACTAGAAAATACTAAACTTAAGGAGATTTATCCAAGCTAAGATTTCATTGATCATTTTGGTTTCATCATATGCTTAAATTTACAAAATGCAGATTTTTCTGAATATTACAAGCAAACCCTAACTTTTGAACAATACAACACACATTTGTATTAAAGGATAGCTGAATGAATGCAGGAACACCATATTTAGAAATAGAAGAGTTCATAACAGAGATTATGTGTTTGAGCTGATATCAAAGAGAAAGGAGCTATGTCTATGGACAGAGATCATTAGACAAAATTAGTAAAAAAATGGGCCATCAAGAAGGAAATTATTCAGAAGAAGCCAGGTAATAAGTCCAAATGCAGCATTTATGATTTTCCATAAATGAATACAAAACAGCTTCAATCTCACCTTGTTGAGTTAAATATGCTTACAGTAGATAAAGTTTTGTTCTCCTTTTCCTGTATTTCTTTGCAACAATAGAGACTGTTAAATTTATGATTTTTTGTTACATCCTAGGGAAAGTCAGACATTTGAAATAACAGAGTTAAAGGGTCTGACCTCATCCTGAATGCTGAGGCCCCTTCCTGTTCAGTGAGAATTGGTGGATAACTCCACTTTTACAGCTGGAGCCACCCTGTCCACCTGAGTGTCCTGAGGGGCACTGCCATCCCACCCCACCTGGCACCTTGGCAGCACCATGCCGTGCCATGCCGTGCCATGCCATGCCATGCCATGCCATGCCATGCCATGCCCTGCAGCACAGCACCACCCTGTCTGCAGGATGGCTGGGTCCTGAAGCAGGATCAGTGCCTGAGCACAACTGTGCTGGCTGATATTCTGGTGAAAAGGCAGCTTTTTGAAGGCTTCTTGGTTAAGATGTACTGCTGGAAAAGTGGCACACAGAGATGTGCTCATGTCAGCCTGAAGAGCTTCCAGACAAACTCCCTCAGCATCCAGGCTCAAATGCTGCAGCTATTTCAAAGTGCCTCTGCTTCTTGCTGCCAGGAGATGAGTTGACCTCTGCTACCCATTTCTTTTTTACCTCTCCTTTCTAATGCAGTGTATCCTGGCAGGACACAAAGCTTTCAGGTGTAGGAAACTCTGACTTCCAGAGAACAGATATTCTTGCTCTTCCTGGGGAATGGACATGTGCTATGGCAAAGGGAAAAGATTAAATTTTGATAGAAGGAGGGGAAAGGACAATGCAGACATCACTGAGATGGCTTCAGAAATGCCAGGCTGCCAAAAGGAGAGCTGTGGACAGAATGAGAGCACTGCTGTTCTTGTCACCACATGAAGATGGTGGCCAAAAGCAGCACAGCCAGCCCTGGCTCACAGCACCAATGGACCTTTGATCTTCCCACTGCAGGGCCATGTCCTGGAATCTGGGCATGTGTTGCTGTGTGTGGAAGATGAAAAGGAACACAGCATGATCCCAGGCTCACACCACATCTCTTTCACCTAAAAGCAACACTCAGGCATGTAACATTTTATAAGACTGGTACATGGCTTCAGTATGCCAGACCCTAGAAAAGAGGGAGGGAAGAAATAATCTGAAAAGAAAACTGTTCTCAAAGCAAGAATTTTTCATTTTTCTTAATAAAATAGGAACCTTACATCTCCCTGACAGAATCACTTAGCATTTTTTACTTGCTAGATCTCAAGTATTCTGACTGCATAGATTACATTTTTATAGCTAGAACCACTAAACTCTTTCCAAGTACATTTGATAGAACATTTTTAAGGACATTTTCATAGATATTCAAGACACCTATCAAAGTAAAGGATATTCTTTGTTCATTGATTCAAGGAGGATTGACAGAAGCATTTCATTTCCATAATCAAAAATCAAAATTAAAATGGTAATCCATATTAAAATACTGATGTGCATAATAACCCTGATGCTTTTAGTAAGTCCCCAAATGAGGCTGTCAGGCTGTTGAAATACTCCCGTCTGAAATATTTTCCTTATGCATAGATCTATTATTTTATTATTTTTCTCAAAGAAAGTCAAGACTTGGGCCACATTTTTTGCTAGGGGTTTTCTTTCATGCTTTACATGAAAATAAGTTCACTCCTAAAAACATAACACTTTACACACTATCATATAGAATGTTTTCCCACTCTTAAAGGAGTTCATTAAATATAACAGTTCAAAAATTAATAATTTTCCTCTATTTTTACTTAAATGTTAATGCTGTAGTGAGGCTGGGATCACAGAGCTGGGAGAAAGAGGGCAGCAGCTTCAAGGAAACAGAGTCTGATTGATTCAGTACCATAAAGAGCTTTGGGACCAGGTGCTAAACTCAGAACAATGGCTCAATTTCAGGTAAAATTTTAATAATCTGAATAAAACAGGCTATATAAGAACACAATTACCACAGGGGATACAGAAAGCCATATTTCCACCGCTCAGATGCACCGCCTCTACCACCTCAACTCCTGCCTCTCCTCAATGGGACTGCTGATATCCATTTGGATTGTTACTTGTCACAGTCATATTTTCTGGAAAAATCCCTTTGCCCAGGATCCTTCTCCTGGGAAGTTGAGAAGCCTCAGAGAAAAGAGAAAACAATATGATCTCATTTGCTTCTCCTGTGTTTTGCTGCTTTGGAATGTGTTTGGAGAGTGTTTATCCAACAGGTGATTGTTCCATTGGTTTCATGTGAATTGTTTTGACTCATTGACGAATCAGGGCCAAGTGTGTCGAGACTCTGGAAGGAGTCACAAGTTTTCATTATTATCTTTTTAGCCTTCTGTAAGTATCCTTTCTGTATTCTTTAGTATAGCATTCTTTAATATAATATAATATCTTAAAATAATAAATTAGCCTTCTAAGAACATGGAGTCAGATTCGTCATTCCTTCCTTTGTCTGGGAACCCTGTAAATGCAATAGATACTGGCACTGTTCCTTTCAAGCACCTTTCTTCTGCCATCTCTTTTCTTAAACTATTTTTATACAAAGAAATGAAAATTTTTGTGAGACCATCAAGTTGTCATATGTAAGTACAATTGTGCCCTTGTGTGGTTCTGCCTGCAGGACATGAAACTGGAAAAGCTTCTTGTCTGTTTATCTACAACAACACAAGTCTTCACACAAACAATAATCTCATGTCTTTTCACGTTTTTTGTTTTAGATGTAGTGAGATGAATTTCCTCTAAGTGACTCTTCTCAGGGTCTGCAAAAGCAGGACTGCACCAAAAAACACAAACTACACGAACATGCACTAAATCAAACAGTCTGTGTATTCCTATTCATTTGTCTTTAGGCCTTCCACAGACCACAAACAAATGTAGTAGTCTTGGTATTTTACCAAGATGAGACAAGCAGCAGATAAGTTTGGTGGCCCTGACTGTTTGAACAACTTATTGTGTTTCCTGCTTCTTGATGCTTCTTGCCAGGGACAATCTGGGACAAGGAAACCAACAGGAAGAAGAATTTCTTAAGAAATGTACAGCTTTGTGTCACCATAAGTTCTGTTAATATGAAAGATCATACCTACCTATAAACAAGGCAGAACAGTCACTAATATATTCCAGATAGTGTAATTAACTTCAAAATTTGAAAGAAAATCTGGAAAAGAGCAGACTTTCTCCACAGAGCTGTAAATAATCAAATTTACTTTGAACTCTTCCAATGCTTTGAGGGAAATAGGGAGCAAACTAACGACTCTGAGTGTTTTGGGTTTTTTAAAGAGAAAAGACAAAATATAAATCTGCCTTTTTTTTTAATTAATCATCATTTAACAACAACAACAGGGTTATTATTTAATAATGGGTTCTTGTTGTCAATCAGGTTTTAGCTACTCTTTAGGAAAAAAACCTAAAATTGAATTCTAGACAAATTGAAATCTTATTTACAGAAATTTAAATACCTGCCATCACAGTTATCACCAGGCTCAAGATGAAGCTTGAAATGTATCATTTTTGCACTGCTAACAAAAGTTTTTTGGTTTTGACATGGCGCTGTCAAAAAGCTCATCAGGCTACACCAGAACCTGTGTCTGCTGTGTGTCTGTGCAAGTACATGTTAAAAGGAATGGTGGGAATGGTTGAAAAGAAATTAGTAAGTACACAGCTAATACTAAAGCGCACCTTTAACACTGCTTCAGGATAAAATATGAGGAAAACAAAATATTAATTTGAACATGATTAGTCATCTCAGTCCATAATTTATTCAAATTAAAACAGAGCGATTCAAGGATTTTTGGTAAAAGTTGTATAGGTAGGTATCATATTCCATCTGCTCTTAATAAGCAATTTAGATCAATTTTATGCAATTAAACTAGGAATATTGAAACAGAGACAAAGGAAGCAGTGAGTTAACAATCTGCAGCTTTTCTCTGTTGCTATTGTCCTGTAAAATGAGAATAAAATTGTTCCCTACTCAGATGAATGATACACATCTTATTTTTGAAAAGAGTGCTTCAGTTTTAAAGTCTTTTAAGCTTTGTTTTCCACCACCTTTTCTTTTTATTCTATAAAACACTTGTGGATTATTGCTTGAGGAAAAGAGTCAACACTATGGACAGACTCTTAGCTCGGATTCATACGAACACATGGATTCAGAACATCTAGATGATAGATCTTCTTGAATTTTGATTTTACTGCCATTTCAGAATTTTTTTCAGTTAAGTGTCCTCATCTACCATGCTGGTTTTTATGTGATCCATTTCATATTTCTCCAAAGAGAAAGGAAGCTAAATGAGCCACATCTGCTTCAATAAATAGGCAGTCTAGCAGCTTTTTAATGTTCTAAAAATAATTCTTGGCAGGATGGGTCAGCAGCAAAAAGAAACTGATGTGATTATTTCATTAAAATGGAGAAGTCACTCTTTCTAAGATACCAAGAAGAAATTCACATTGACTTTGTCTATCCATTTTTGTTAGGATAACTCATATATATCATCTTGCAATATCTGACTGTGATATTACAAAAAAAGTCAAAAAAGTTTCTGCTAATCCTGTAAAAACTATTTTTTCTTCTTAACATTGTCAATATCCTTGATAATATGTTAGCAGACTGCCATAATATTTGCTGATTTAGCACATTGCACTGTCTATGTTTACTTTGTAGGTTGTTGCTGGGTAATAATGGAGAAAAGATCAGTGGAGTAAAGGTATTTCGTTAGGAAGTAATGAGCAGTGCCACTCACCTGCCAGTGGAGGATTATATTCCAGATCAAACCAAGGGTCAGCTTATGATTTCCATCCACAATATCTGAGCTCCCTATATTTACCAAATCAACCTATTATAGAAAAAAAAATAATTGTTAAATATTAATAACAAGCATAAGAGGCTGGAAAGAGATGAAGGGATAGGCTAAGGTAAATCTCCCATTTCTTTTCTGTTGTTCCACAAACATACAACTCACACTTTATAAATGACACTATTAACGTTCTGGAAAAAAACAGCAGTGATCTGGAGTTCCTATAATTCCAGTTACAGCATGTTGTGTGAAATATAAAGGGAAAAGCAATAGTTATAATAACTCAAATATTTTTCTTATGAAGCTTCTGCAATTACAAATCACACAGACAGAAAAACTACTGTACTCTGCTTTGTACTGCCTTACATAATATAATTTTCTGAATGTTAACACACGCACATCTAGGCATTGTAAGAACCTACAAGCCCAAGACATTATATATTTAAATTAAAATAGGACTTAATTTTCCTTAATTCAATGCCATAATGTATAAAGAAATATACAGGATGTGCTCGGCACACAGATAAAGCAGTGATTGTGATCTAACAAGTCTTTTCCACAACAGTTCATCCAGTAATGTTGTTTTCCATAATTGCATCATGCATTTGCAATTTCATAATGCATCATTATTTACCACCATGGAATTTTCCTTCCTCCACATGGGAAATGATCCTTCACCCTCCCCCACTTTTTATAGTATCTGAATAAGGAAGCCAAACTCAGGGTTATAAATGGAAAACTATAAGCTGTTCTGCATATTTGGATAGAATTATGACTCTAAAATTGGCATCCTTGCTGTTTCATAGATGCCACTTTTCATGGTCAGAACTGATGGTTTTTATTGCAAAGTACCCCATTCCTTCACAAACTACATTCTGCAGTCTCTAGTGCAGTTCTGAAGTTATTTGATGTTGTATCTGCAAATTTAATAAAATTTTCACCCTCAAAACAAGATGCTTTATTTTAATTTTTGGGTTCTTTTTATTTTCAATGCATCTATGTATAGGTCATTTTTACAAACCACAAATCAGACATTTTATCAAGAACTCTAAAACTCTTAAAGAGCTCTTTTCTTAAAGAATTCCACACTTTGTACTAAAAGCACATGAGACTGGCTATCTATTCTAACCATCAATGTCTTGGAACATATCCCCAAATGGAATTTAGACTTTACATGCTAAATTTAAAATGGAATCCCCTGCAGCAAATGACACCATACAATTAGAGTTTATTAGGGCAGTGCCTGGGTATTCTACAGACCAAATCCCTTCTTGGAAGGGGAAGCCTGGACACACAGAGCCCACATCTGTTTTACTGAAGCAGAGGAACATTGCCCAGTTTGCCTAAGACAGGTCTAAGGCTATACTGGGGAAAACCCCTACCCCTCACATGTCCCATGCTCCTCCCTCAGTAATTTCACTTCTCTATGGGAAAAAAAGCCTGTGAAATGGATTGACTGGAAGCAGCAGCATCGTTCAGTGTTACCACCCAGAACCTCAGAGCAAAGATGGAACATATCAGCAGAAAAATCTGGACTAGTCATAGGCTTTAATTCACTTTAGAACCACTGATTTTGCATTCTTGATGTTCCAGAGAAATAATTTGTCAAATTATTGAAGCTTAAGGAAGCTATTCAGAACCAGGTCTTTTGCTTTCATACAAGACACAGTATATCTTTATATATACTGTACCAATTTTTACATAGTTTACAAGGTCTTCATTACATGAATGTAATGGTCACTGGATGATCACTTTACTTTCTAAAACATTGTTTCTTATTCTATCTTCTAAAATTGAAATACTCTTTGTTTTCTTACTAGATTTGAAAGCGACTTTCCAGATTTGTGTTCTGGAAAATAAGTGAAGAGCACACAACTGGGTTTATTGGAAAGGTGCTGAGTACTTCAGAAAGTATTTTCTATGATTATTTGTAACCAGTTATGCAATCAAAACCTTCTTGTATAGTGTGAAATAATGTATTGATTATTTTTTTCCCAATAATCTCAAATGTTGCACATTTTGAAAAATTAGAAACTTTTCCTTATATTTATTTACATTAAATACCATCAAAAAAATCAAGCTGGAGGTCTTTATGTCAATCTTGTAGGGTCACTTACATTTATGTACAAATCTTTAGGTGGATTACCTTAAATTTATAAAATCAATAACTTTATTCAGCACTTGAAATCAAGCATTACTGACCTCCTGCAGCTACCAAGAAATCTAATAGAATATACAGCACAGAATACAGATATAATATAATATACAACACAGAATCTTTGTTTTGTCACCTCTTACTTTTAAGCAAGTGTTATAGGTTTTTTTTTTTAATTTATTCTTGAGGAGAGTTATGATAAAAATAGTGGGCAGACAAAATGTCTGCTAAAATTATGGGCCCATTAGAATGCCTGCATAAGGAAGACAATATGAGAATATTTACTCAATAATGATTCACAGGATACTGGCTTGAAAAATCAATCTTTACAAAGTAGAATTGAAAGTGATATTGATATGATTAGTGTTCTTAATCATGAGAGACAGATGCCTTTGAAACTTAATTAAAAAAAAAGTTGTAGGAAAAGCCTTGGGTTTTCAGGGTTCATAATTGTCAGAGATTGTGAGTAAATATTTTGATAGGCAGCATCATGTAATCAGCTATATTTGACTTCTTGTATTTAACTTTTAAAAATTTATTTTATACACCATTCATTAGAACAAAATCATGCAGATTGATCTGGCTTCAGACAGCACCCATTAAAGATATATTAGCCAAAATTCACTGGAAGAGGATTTTAAATTCCTTAAAACACATTTGACCCTGATGCTGAACGGGAAAGTATCCAATCCACATTGATAAAGCTGCTTTGACTCTACAGAAGTACTCTTTAGTGCTTTTATACTATAGACCAAGGTGTTTAATTCAACACCTAAAAAGCATTTTGTGTGCTGTCTACAGGCTGTTCTGAGCCTGTCTGGCTGAATACTTACATTATTTCTCTGCAAAAAGTGGATTGCTTTGTTGACATTGTTCAGAGCATGAACTTTTGTGGAGCCCTTTTCTTTTGCCTACAAAGAAAATAAACCAAACTTTATTGTACATAATCAGAATGTTGAGTACACTATATGTAGCTCACATCTTATATTGCACCTGTAGTTTTCTATTTCATAAATTTATGAGAATATAATATCAACATACACTGAGATTATGCAGCTACTAACATGAAATAAAGTTAATTGTGAAAAAAACTGGATCCACAGAAGGTAATTTTCAGTGAAGGAATCATTAAAATGCATATAAAATTAGCTCATTCTAGATTCTTTTTATCATGATTAGTTGTCTTCTGCATGGCACAATTTAAAAACATTGCTATGGCAACTAAACAGATAAGCATCAGTTTGTGTAATATTTATGTACAAGTGCATTATCTCTGGATTTTGATTCTCAGTCTCCCACCCTTCTTATGACAAGATGCTGTAGTTACAAATTCCAACCAGGAACACAAGAGAAGGCATTAAAAAATGTGTGTGACTATCACTTTAAAATTTCCAGGTTAATAATAGCTAACAGTTCTCTCTTTTCAGACAAGTACAATCAGACAAGATGGACCATATGTATGACATTAGAAAACCATTTTAATTCTACACATTAAATTCTATTCCAGCTAAAATCCAGATATATAAATGTACCCTGCCTCAGCCTTCTTTCTCAATGCCACACTTAGTAAGTGCATCCAATAAAGCAGAATATTTTCATTTCAATTATAGGCCTTGCAAAGTGTTATTGTGTAATACAACTCTCAGTCACAATGTTTCTCAATTTCAAATGAAACTGAAACCTATTCAGACCCCTAAAAATAGTTTCCACAGGTCCTCATCAATGGAAGAAATTGGTGAACATAACTACTTCAATTATCACAATATTAAGACTTCAATATACAGTAAATGTGTTACAAAGCACATACAAGTTTTTGGCCTGTAAGGCATTCGAGGAGCTCCAGAAGTCTTCGTCCATCTCGAAAATCATTAAAAAGGTCTTCAATGTGACGTCTTCCAAACTGAAATGAAACAATCCCTCTGGTTAGCTCAAATGCCAAAAATAATAATTAAAAAAAAGACCAGAAAGCTATAAAAAGCCAGTGTCAGAATATAAATGGAATGTAGGACACAAAGTAAAAGAGGAAAATGCATTTAAGCTCACAGGATTCTTGCACATATATCTGTCTTAAACAGGGTTCTCTTGTTTAAGAGACAATGGCGCTTACTTTATTGCAAGTACATGTCATTATTTCAAACAAGCCAGAACTAAATACTAATATATCTAGAAAACAAAGAAAACTTGGCAATCAAGGTGAAAATCAGGGAAATAAATAGGAAAAATAATTTTAAAAATTAAAAAAAAAGAAACAAGAAAAAAAAAACCACCTCCAAATACACAGGAAGTGATTTAAAATTTAAGTGCCTAGTACAATCTCAATGTGTCAGAAAAAAAACCTGGAAGTACACAGAGATTAGACAGACTTATTCTACTCAGGATCTTAACAACAGATCTATGTTCATAGGCTATGGAATTGTACTGGATTGTGGCCTTATTTCTTTAAGGGGCTGACAGACAACTCACATTTTGTAGTTAGCATCAGTGAAAGATGAAAGGAAATACTTGTGATTTTTCCTCATGTGACAATGTTAAAAAAAAAACACTCTTTCTAAAATTCAAACCAAGTTTCTCATCTGATGCTTTGACTAAGGCATGAAATATTAAAATATAGACATATTTTTTTATAATCTAGTCACTGAGCAAGTTTTATGTTCACCTATGAATTTTTAGATATTTTTGCATGTATGAGAGCTATTGAGAACCACAATAAAAAGTAAAAGAGATTATTTTGTGCCATGCAAAATAATTTCACATGTCCACATTTTTTCTAATTTGTGAAGCTTGATGGATGCTTTGATTGATTTGAGAGCAAGTCTCTGCATTCTAATTTTCCAGAATTGATGCCATGATGACCTACATTGCACATCTTCCATTTTTACTACTGAGCACTGTAAAATAGGGAATCTGTGATATAGAGAAAACATTTGCTTTACTGTCAGCACTGTTGTTCTGGTATTCACTACAACCCTCATTAGAGCTGGGAATATTATGGAAAACATATTTTGTTAGGAAGTACCAATTCCTTTGGAAGGTTACTTGAACAGAGGACAGAATTAAGGACAGTATTCAGTTTGAAATTATTTTTTTCTCATCAACACATTGTTATGGGTACAGCACTGACTTGAGTGTATTAGTTATTTTGCCATGATCTTTCTCTCTGATTGCTCTTCAGAAGCAAAAGTTCCTTTCAATCCCTTCAGTTTTTGCTAAGGCCTTGTTTCTTTTTCATGGAACAAACAAATCCACAACACCACAAAATTTCTTGTTTTCTAGACAAACAGAAGTTTTCACACCGTGCACAACCCATTTCAACTAAGCTAATTTCTATTTAACACACATAATGCCATTTTATTTAATATCTGAAAACCAGTACTGAACAGACACACATATGATTTACTTGCCCTACTCAACACCTTGAATTCTCTGTTTAAGTAATAATGCCCAGAAACTGTATTTCCTGCCTCATATTTAGTATGAGAAATAGTTTTATAAAAATTTTTTACATTATGGGATGAAAAATCAAGTTCATGCCATTATGTGACTCAAGTCATGTACAGAATTCCAGAATCTGTAGGACAAAATTAAAATATGCGACTAAATCAGAGACCTTATTTTGTTCCTAATCTTGCAGAACAAAAGTCATTTTTGCAGAGGGAAAACAGAAGACCTATGCACTTTAAGGGAGCTTTTTCAAATTCTTTAGGAAGTTGGAGTGATCAATAGGTCCTTCTGTAACACTATGAAAGAGTTGTGCCCATAATGCCACTGGATTTCCCTGGGAATATGAGAACAATGACATTTTGACATAGACTGCAATTATACTGGTTTGTATCATACAGGAAAAAAAAAAAAAAAAACCTGGCCTTCATAACTCCCTGTGTCTCTGTCTTTCCTTCTTTTTTTCAGCATTTAATTTATTCATAACATTTATGTTGAAATCAATCTGGGCAGTCAAAAATTCTGCTTAACAAATAATATGTTGCTTTGGGGTGTGTTTTTTTGGTAAAGATTTTAGAAAGAAGATAAAGACACAGCACAGTATTATCCCCAGCAGGACATATTAATTACAAGTAAACCTTAAACCAAAAGTTCCATTGATTTTTTAGGGTCTTGGAAGTATACCTTCCATTAATCACAACTAAAAATACACTAAGGCACCCTATACTACTGCCACACATCATTTTAAACCTGAGGAAGGTTGTTTTTCTGGCAATGGGGTAATTATGTCTCCTTCCTCAAACAGATTGAATGTCTTAACTGGATCAGCATTGCAGTAAGTCCTGAAATACACAGGGCTCAAAGTTGCATCAGGTAAATTTATTGTCATTGGAAAGTGTCTGTTAACTCGAACTTTTGAAAACAGTGAAAAACCAAGAGTGGCTTGCCAAACAAATACCTTGTCATTTGTTCTACATTCTTGCTGAAAATAAGATTTTTTAAAAACTTTTTTAGGTTGTGACCTAAAACCACTGCCCTTTACCTAAGAGAAATTAAATGTTCAGAAGACTCTCCTCTACCATTTGTTACACGTGTTGATTTATTACTCACTCTACATTACAAACTTGTCCAAAACTTATTTAAAGAATGCGCAGAAAACTTCCACCTGAATAGCTGGCTCACACTCAACTGTCTTTCTTCAACACCACAGTGATGGGAGAGATGGGGAAAACAAGAGAGAGTACAGGACACAGAAAGGACTAAAGATATTTGATGTGTAGAACAAGCTGACTTTTCACCAGAAGCAGAAATTCCTTTCTCAATGTAGAACAAAATTAAAATCTAAGATAAGACTTTGTTAAAATCTGAATTACTAGAAGGACTAGGGATTTAAGTATATGGCAGTTTTGTATATAATTTTAATTTACTGTCTTTGAGTGAAATAAAGATGAAAACACAAACTTTTTTGGTTAACTGATAGAGCTGTTGACTGCAACTGCTTATCTATGCACAACACAAGGGGACCTGAAGGAAATCCAATGTGTCTATTTTAAAAGAAAATTACCAAAAACAATCATGACACACATGGGAAGACATGATTCTTGTTTTATTGTGGATTAAATAAACCCTCCAACTTTAATAATGACTGAAGAAATTAATTCATAAATTAGACTGGTATGGAAGAAAAAGCAAAGCTACCTTACACCACACCATGGTCAACTACATAAGCTGTAGACTTAGAACTACGTGGTACTGTACAAGTAACGTGAGAAAAATGTGGAATTTGCAGTAAAGTTTTCCCCCAGGTGTTGTAAGGGAGTGAAGCATAGTTAGAATATTCCATGTAGTAACTCAACTACATGTATATATTCTAGAAAGCTTTCAGCATTAAGAAGATTAAAATTATATCTCTGACGTGTTCTAAACTCAGACAGGAACTGAAACAATTTAATGCCAAAGAACATTACCTACAAACCACAAAAGCTGGTGAAGAAGGGAAAAAAAAAAAAGAGGAAAATCAGGAAATAGAGAGAAACCAGTTTTAATAGATAACTGCAGATGTAAATTTTTGGTTTGAATACATTTAGGTATCTCAAAATATCAAGCTTCTTTCTACTTATCTCATTGCTACCTACTATCATTGTCATTCCTGTGTTCTTTCCTGGGCCTCTATAATAGACTTCATTGTCTCTATGTAAATTATACAAATAAATTTTATCAAACAACTAAATTATTTAATCAGCTTATTCATCAGATACATTAAGGAGGAAGCTAATATTGTGGGAAGTATTACATGAAAAGCTGGTGTTCTGTGAAAAGCTCTCTATTCAGAGATACATGCAAGTCAGTAATTATTTAAGAAATACAGAGAACATAATAAAATAATTAAAAAATAACTTGCCCAGAGAAGGCACAAATACATCTGTTCATAAACATTGGCTCTCCAAGGAGTTAAAGCTCAAAAAAGATTGATTAGCATAAAACTCCTAGCAGCTTTATATTTTAGAACAAATTAGTAGAGGCAAATTCTTCATGAAAGGAAAGTTGAGCAAAGGAAAAGGAAATGGGAAGGGGAGAGTTGGGAAAAGAGGGGGAAAGAAAGAAAGAAACAAATGGTCAGTAAAAACAAATGTTGATTAAAAACAAATGAGGTTTAAGTGGGACCATGGAGAGGACACGAGGAAGTGGGATTGAAAGCATATCTCAACCCTAGAGGCATGGCTGTAGGAAGGGCGGGGAAAAACAACCACAAATGGGGGTTCCTTAAGGAAAGTTGTTGCTCCAACTTCCAGTGAACAGTTTCCCAGGCAGAATGGAAGGGCTGATTATATTACTGACTCTATGGAAAGAAGTCCTAGTCCACTTCTATGATGAAGAAGTGGGGAATCTTGTGATCAAGATTAGAGGGTCCTGTCCAGTCAGGTGGAGGAGAGGGATAACCAGGATTACTGGATTTTGTGGATCTGGGGGCCTGGCACATCAGCTCCACACTGGGCACCAGAAAGATCTGTTCTGTTTTAAGCCCAGTTTGCTCCTAAGCCCCACACAGCTGCTCACTCACTTCCCCCACCCCAGCCACACACTGCCCAGGGGAATGGGGTTTGGCATCTGTTAGCGGGTAGTGAGCAACTGTATTGTGAATCACTTGTTTTTTGAGGGGTTTATCTGTATGGTTTTTGGGTTTTATTTTTCAAATCTACAGCATTACTATTATTGTTATCATTAATATTATTGTCAATTATTAAATTTTTATCTCAACCTACAAACTTCTCCTTTTGATTCTCTTCCCTGTTCCACTGGGAGGAGGAGAGAATGTGGAGTGAGAAAGCAGCTGCATGGTGCTTAGCTACCAGCCAGGCTTAAACCACAACAAGCCATAAATTTTTTCCCACAAACATGAAGGGTAGAAATTTATTTCTATTTTCTAAGGTTCATAAACACACCAAATTTCAAGCAATGAGC